CTCTTAAACTAATTTATCCTACTAATAGCGCTTCATAATTTAAATAAATAAATACAGAGTATATATCTTATTTGCTCGCGAAGCACCTTGTGCTCAGATAACATGTAGTGACCTCTTCCATGTGAGAGGTAATGAGATCGAGCCTTAGGTTGAAAAGTATGTTTAAACAGTTACTACAATGTAATAGATTGAGTTAGCAGCATTCAAACAAAATCTTATTTGCTCTATTTATTTATTTATTTTGCATGTATACTCGACATTTTTTTTTCTAACACTGTCACTATATATTCATTGTTAGCAAATGTGTTGTGGAGTGGGAAACTGCGTGGGTATTACTTAGATCAAATCGTATGCGTGTAAAATATACCTCTTTACTTTATCTATATATATATATATATATATATATATATATTTTTATAATCCTTATTCAAGTAACAAGGGATAACAAATTTTGGTTGCCATTCAAATTAATTCATCAAGGGTGTAGCTTATAAATTTTATGTTGAGCACATAAAAAATAGGCAATATATATCATATGAATATTTAGATTTTCATCATTTTCAAATATTTTATCTCTACCTATTTATTTATACCGGATACTCTTGAAACTAGGTTGCATGATAATTTTATAGTAGTTGTTTAAACAACTTTCATTAACAAATATAATTTTATCTCAAAAGTCAAAACTCATCAAAGTTACATTTGAAATCTCAAATTTCAAACATAGAAACTATTATAAAAAAAAAAAAAAAACATGTCTAGATGATATATCGATGTCTCATTGGAATGCGAACAATCAAATAAATATAAGAAGTCTCGCCATTCTCACTGTGACAAACACGAGGGCCGCCTTTCTCGACTCCTTTGGTTCTCAAGGCTTGGTTGGTACTGCCATACCGCATAACTCATTTGATTTTTCTGTAACTTGTTTGGTCAGAACATGTTGGCTCTTGTCATGCAATCAATAGATATTATCATCTGACTTCAACAAATAACAAACTTTATCAACGAACTCCGAAGATCATAAGACTTCCTTTTTTTTTTTTTTTTTTTTTTTTGAAAACCAACGAAACCTATAAGACTTCCTTGATATGACTTGAAAACAATTAACTTACTCACCTAATCAATTTGGATAAAAAAGATTAATATAAACCTATTAAATTTAAAATGACATTTACATTCTACAACCTTCAAAATATCGTTTAAGTTTTGAATAATATGCCTAACATTTGAAGCGCCATTTTACTATATAAATCTCTTACACTTATTCAAAAGTATATAATTATTTGTTGGCGCCGGTAAATTAGCAAAAATAGCATGCTTTGTCTACTTTTGAACTACACACATAATTAGATAACAGTGTGGAATGGATATTTCTTTCCCTTTTTCATAAAATAAAGTATGATTATGTAATAAAAGTAAGCAGCGGCGTACGTAATTTTTGGACACACTTTTTTGTTTCTTCCGGCAGAGAGATTCTCTTTAGTTAAGCTGTAAAATATTACTAAAATATAAATATGAATTGAAGATGGAATAGTATAACAGGAAAAAGAAAAGCCCAAGTGGCTGAATATACTACTTTCTATCAAAAAGGGTATGGTAGTGCAATTCCTTTTTCGTACATCACTACATGTAATCAATCGTTATATCGTGGAATCCTGGTCTTAAACGACGTAGTTTTGGATTTTAATTTTGACGGTGATCGTTCATTGTTCAATTCATATTATAGGGATTTTTTAATCGCAAAACATGTGTATGTGTCTTGTGTTATGCATTTCTGTGTCTCATGTTATGCAATTTTATACCCCAAATATATGAATTCTGTATATAAAATAAAGTAAATATAACATGCGTTTTTGTGTCTTGTGTTATGCGTTTTTGGGTCTTGTGTTATGCATTTTTGTGTCTTATGTTATGCAATTTTGTACATTAAAAATATTGATTTTGTACATGAAGTAAAGTAAATATAAAACATGTGTATGTGTCTTGTGTCATGCGTTTTTGTGTCTCGTGTTATGCAATTCTGCACCTTAAGCGTATGAATTCTGTACCTGAAATAGATTAGTAGTTTTGTAACTCACAACATTTTGTGTCTTATTTTACGAATTAATGTTTTGTATTATGAAATTATATGCCTATAGGACCTATATTATCTACCTAAATAAGATTTGGGAATAAGTAATATATATATAACATGTACATGTGTATTGTGTTGTGAATTTTGTGTCTCGTGTTATCAAATGATGTACCTTGAGAGTATTGATTCTGTACCTAGAATAAATTAAATTTTGTGTTAAAAATGAGAAACGAAAAATTACAGAATTTGTTAATTTAAATATCAAAACACGTCATTTTGATCCAGGGTCCACGATATAAATTGCCACATGTAATGGGACAGTGATATATATATTATTCGGTACTCAGTATCTTCAATTCACCACAGATTAATTTAGATGTGGTCTGAAATATATTCATGGAATAATGATATTTGAAATTTTGAATACATGTAATGATGTAAAGGCAGGGCCTGTAAGGAATTTTATTGAGTGGAATAAAAAATTATAAGTAATTTGAAATATGGTTAGAAATTTTTATTATTGACAAAATATAAAAAAATAAAATCATCAGAATAAAAAATATATTATAAAACAAAACACAATATTTATGACAAATTACAAAATAATACTTCTTTATGTTTTTTTTTTTTTTCATACTTTAATATCGCGTTAGCAATTTCCTCATTCAAAAAAAAAAAAAATCTTTTTCAAAATACAACACTACGTAATCATTTAACACTAGGAATAAATATCACAAATTAATACACATTATAAATACAATTGCTCAACTAGGAATAAATCTCAAATTTTGATACAAATAAGTGAAATAACAAATTCACCCGCATTATAAATGTTACAAAGGCACACATAAAAAAAAATAAAATAAAAATTGTCAATTAAAAATACATTTTACAAATTAATTGCTACAATTATAAATAGTTCCACACTTCTATGTTCTCCCGATAATAAATGAGCTGTAAATTTTTATCCTTATATTTACTCATAATAAATGAAAGGTATTTTAGGACAAAAAACTATAAATGTTATTGTATTTATGAGGGGAGACAATATTTTTGACATCCCAATGGAAAGACAAGTTTGTAGGGATAGAAGGTGTATTAATAATTAGAAAATTGGTTCCTATAAAAAAAAAATTAAAAAATTGGACTTTCATAAATTTTGCATTGAACTTGATTCTGAAGTTGTTATTAAGGTGATAAATGAGATCGAACTCTCAGCAGGAGAACTCTCCTCCCTAATCATGGACTGTAAATTTCTTACTAAAAATTATGACTGTGTGGTGTTTACTCACGTGTTGAGAGAAGAGAACAAATGTGTGGGGCATGAAGTTCAGGATATAGTCCGACAAAACTGGAAATTGGAGTTATCAATTTCTTTTTTTTTTATATAGATTGTTGATGAATTGGTTAATTCCACCTTTTATTAATAAGGAATTTATGTATCCAAATGTGTCTAACATGTGCAGTAAAATTGTGATATTTAATTATTTTCCACTCATCTGCTAAGTAATTGATTTCACGATATTTTCAATATTCTAGAAACTAGAAAGGGTCAATAAAATTAGGCTGAATTCAGTCCAAAACTCCATATCCATCTCTATACATGCTAAGTCAAGGTTTTATTTGATTGACTAAGATCATAAAGTCAATATTTTAATTAAATAATTACGAATGTAAATTCATTAAAATAAAAATAATTTAAACATATAAAAAATAATAAAAATATTAATTTTTAAATTATGAGTAAATCTTGTGTGAGACCGCTTCACATGAGATATGTAATATTTTTTAGATAATAATATACAAAATATTATATTTTAACTAAAAAGTATTATATATTTTATTTGAGGGGCATTTCACAAGACTTATTCTTGAATTATTACTGCATTAGAAAAAATATATTACCTAATGGATAATCCTAAGTTTTACCATGTAAACTAAAATAATTTATTTAGAAGAGAATGAAACTTTTAAGTCATCCATTATTAGTTGAATAAGTCTGGTGCGATATTGTCTAAAGTTGGATGTTTAATATTTTTTAGTTAAAATATTATTTTCTTTTATTGAAGCATAGTAAAATATTATATTTTAACTAAAAAAAATATTACTTGTGTTACTTGAGACATCTCACACAATATCTACTTACTACAATATAATAAGTTCAAAGTGTGAATGGTTAATGTCTTTACTTTCGGTTTATAAGGTCTTATTAAAATGATGTTTTTGCTCTTCAAATAAATAATTTGTAACAGAATTATAATAATGAGATAAAATCAATAAGAAAAAAATTTAAAGTGTAAATTAGATCTTTTGTCGGAGTGTCGGACTCATTTGATTTCTATTCATCTAATGTGAAAGTGTTAAGGGTTAACAACTAAAAAATTGAATGAACTATAAACCGAATAACTTTGGACACTTATTAAGGGAATTACTAATGTTGTTGAACAATGAACATACATTTATACACATAAATGTATAATCTAACAATCACCTTAGATTTTTAGTTGAGATGAACCACAACATTCAATTTAATATCAAGTCAACCCTAAACAAGACGTCATATAGTTCGTCAAAAAGTAATATGTATGCACACCTAAGGGACTAGTTAAGCATATACGATACATTGTTCCCAAAAGGTTGAATACCCAATTTGCTTACTAGGTACAAAGAGTCCCTCACCACCGCTAGTGAGACTCGATCACGAGTCATTGTTTCTAAATTTCACTCCTATGACCAATTGAGTTGCTCATGTCAGTTAAGGGTATACATATATATAAGTATAGATAGATGTGCAGTTTAACTATCAGTTTAGCCTTTTAGAGACAAAAGTATCATTTTCAATTTAATAAATGTGAAGAATTATTGTGTGAGCCAATAAATGGCAATGGAATAAATTATACGGATATGTAAAGCTCCGACAATTGACCGAAAGTCCACTAAACGTACCCGGTTAGCTGCCCAAACTCCCGGCGGGCAGGATCAAACTCCGAGTGCTCAAAATCTCAGCTTTCTCCTCCTCTTTACATTCCCAACCCCCCATCATCCACTCTCTGCACCACCATCCCATTGCCGCTCCCTCCGCCCTGCCGGGTGGCGCGTCAAGAAATCATCTCAGCACTTCACCTAAATGCTGTGAGCTGAAGGCTTTGGCGGCGATGGGGCAGAGATTGAGCTGCAGAGAAACCCATGAACATGGGTTCTTCACAGCCGTCCAAAATGGGGAGCTTGAAACAGTTGAGGCCATGGTTGATGAGGACCCGAGTGTGCTAAGGTTCACCGCTGTTCATGGGAAGCTCTCTGCATTGCATGTGGCAGCAGCCAATGGGCAGATCGAGGTCGATCTTGCTTGATCTTTCTTGTTTTTAATGTTCTGTTGGGAGTCTGGGTTTCTTGTTTTTCTGATGAATCATTCTTGTGTTTTTGGTGGTGGATAGATTCTCTGTATGCTTTTGGATAAGGGTTTAAATCCAGACATCTTGAATCGCCACAAACAGGTGATGACCAGAGCCTAATCTTGTTTTTCTATATTTTCCCTTCTTACCTTAAAAGTTTCATTTTTTATTTTAATTTTTGCTGAATGTACTATGTTTTGGATTTAAGGTATATACATACGTGCATTGGGTACTGAAAATTTCTAATTTTTGTTCAGACCCCATTGATGCTAGCTGCTATTCATGGAAAGCTTTCCTGTGTGGAAAGGCTACTCCAGGCAGGAGCAAATGTATGATCTTTTCCATGCTCCCTACTCTCATTTCTTTGATCTATACTTTTGGTGATCTGGTTGATGTGTATCTGTTGATAATGGATTAATTCATTTGTTCAGATTTTAATGTTTGATTCACTACATGGAAGAACCTGTTTGCATTATGCTGCATACTATGGCCACTCTGATTGCCTGCAATCTATCCTCTCTGCTGCACATTCTGCCCACGTGGCACAATCCTGGTGACTTTCATATCTTAGATTTGCTTATTTTGTAATTTCTGGTTCTCAAGACTCTTAACATTTGAAAAATAAGAGAAACAAATGGTGGTTTATAAGATCTGGTTAGACTAGTTAATTGAATGGATTCAGTCTTTAGTGTGGTTTGGCCTATGTGTTGATTGATTGGATTCAGCCTTTTAGCGTGGTTTGGCCCACACTAGTCTTTGCTTTGCTTCTTGGAGTATATACTAAAATTTTGTATCTAAAGTAGCAATGTGATAAGCTTTGTTATTCTTTGCTGGTTAGGGGATTTGCACGATATGTCAACACGAGGGATGGAAGTGGTGCAACCTCCCTGCACTTAGCAGCCCGACACAGAAGGCCAGAATGTGTTCGTCTTTTGCTAAGCAACGAAGCTCTTGTGTGTGCTTCAACCGGTGGATATGGGTATTGCTACTTAACTATGATTATTTCTATGCTTTAATTCTGCTATTTCGTATTAGTGAATTTCACACGATAGGTTTTGCAGCTACCCAGGATGCACGCCTCTTCATTTGGCAGCTCGGGCAGGTTCCTTGGACTGTGTTCGAGAATTACTTGCTTGGGGTGCAGATAGACTTCAGAGAGACGCCTCAGGGTGAGACCTCAGTTCATACAACTTTGTTCCAGATCCTCAATTATGTTCGAGATGTGTATGCCTTTTGATTAGTCCTTGGTATTTGGCTATTTGCTATTGAAGCTAATTGTTTTTGGATGGGATTTCGACAGGAGACTGCCTTACATGATTGCACTGAAGCATAAGCATGAAGCGTGTGCTGCTTTGCTGAATCCTTCGTCTCCAGAGCCATTGACATGGCCTTCGCCCCTGAAGCTCATCACTGAGCTTGATGCCGAAGCAAAAGGGTTACTAGAGAAGGCCTTGATTGATGCCAATAAGGAACGAGAAAAGAAAATTTTGAAGGAGACAAGCTACGCTTCACCTTTGCATTGTGATTCGGACAATGAGGACTTCGAGGTAAAAGTCTTGCTTCAAAAATACAAGTACTTCGGGGGCAACCTTAGTCGAGTTGGCCAAACTATTGATTTAGTAATCACAAGGTTACAAGTTTGACTCTCAGCAGAAGCGGCCTGTTGGCCTTCTTGGTTTGAGCCGATCAGCTATGGGCAACCTAGGCTGGTTTACCCTTTTGTGGTCTTTTGTTGGCTAGAGTTACAAGGCGAGGTTTACTTAGTGCACACCACTAGCTGCGGGCTTCCCCTGTCACTAAGACGGGGTTTACCCAGTGCACATCATTAGTTGCGGGTTTCCCTCGTTTTTGTGCTTAATTTTTTTTTTTCACAGGTCAGCGATTTGGACCTATGCTGCATCTGCTTTGAGCAGGCGTGTACTATAGAGATACAAAAATGCGGGCACCAAATGTGTGCACATTGTACTCTAGCTTTGTGTTGCCACAACAAACCTAATCCGACCAAGAAGTGCGACAAAGTTCCCACATGTCCCTTTTGCCGGAGCAGCATTACTCAGCTAGTCATTGCCAAGAACAAGACCGAAAACAAATTAGAAGAATTGAGCCCATCTAGGTCAAGAATGTCAAGAACGTCATTCAACCTAGCTGAGGATGGTTGCGGTGGCAGCAGTAGCAGCAGCAACACCTTCAAGGTTTTGTCACCTTTGGCCTCGTTTGCTAAGCTTGGCGGCCGCAGTTCAGGTAAGGTGACTATCGATTGCATTGAGGGATTCAATAAGCCATAACATCGGGTTATTCCCTTTGCATCCCCGCCTTTTTGGAATCTGGTCAGTCCTACCTGGTATGCATTCAACAAATCGGGATCCTAATGGAACCTCAACTATTGATATATGCATCAAGTAGGAGTATCTATATCCTAAGATGCCCCTCAAGCAAGAGAATATATATATATATACATGTATTTGGCCTAAATCCAACCAAGAAAATATGAGTATGGAAAGGCCTATTAGCTATTTATCTGTCACCTATATTTTTTCCTCTGAAGAGATGTATTATTTGAACTGCTTCAATGGAAGCCCCACTAATATATGCATCAAAATTTCAGCCAAAAAAAAAGAGAAAATTATGTGAGATTACATGGTTCACCTTTTAGATTTTTAGCTACCAAAGTTTTCACATGACTTCTTAGTTCTTATCCAGCTTTTGCATTTCCTAAACACAATGCATTCATAACCTGGGGGTGTGATTGAGTGGAAGAGACTTATCTATTCTTAACCAAAAGTTAATGATTCGATTCTTGGCTTTGGGTATGGAGCAGTTTTAAATCTTCAAGCCAGCTATCCCACCCAAAACGCTTGATTCTAATTAGTGGTATCAGAGCCAGGTTACAGGCCTTTGCTAAAGATTGACTTTTTAGGGAAAACAATGGTTTACAAACTCTCTTCATACAAGTGAAAATTTACAAAGCTCAATGAGTCAAATGTCCACATAAACAGGAAACAAGCAGAGTTCCATGGCCATTCCCTTCACCATTTCCTGCAATGAACTGGTGGTTTGGGGTTAAATCGCTGGCGGCTTCTCTGCAAATGGTGGCCGAAGCCTTCCTCTCTGCTTCGAGAAAGTGGGCAAGAGAAGAGCCTGCCATGGAAGTGGTGGCATTCATACTAGCAGTCATCACTGCATCAGTACTGAGCTTTGAACACAGTGAAAACAACCATATCTTGCATTTCTTGCCCTTTTTGTTTCCCAGGGACAGAGGCTCAGCTGCCCTCCCTCTTGTTGATCTTCTTGAGAACTCTAATATGCTTGAAATGCCCAGAAGGCTACCAAGGGCAATGCTCTTGTCATGGAAGAAAGAGCCTGTGGACTAACACATCATTCATTTATCAGGATTCAGTATGTAATTTGATAGTAAGTTACACGTCACAGATAGAAAATCGTGAATATTTACGACTAGATCAATACAAATAACTTCTTTTTTTTTTTTTTTTTTTAAAATGATAATAATTATACTATTGTGAGAATTAAGTAGGAATTGAACCATATTTAATTTCGAGATGCTAAAGTCAAGGACTATATCATTCAAAGCCATGTGAAAAGAGTGAAAGCTCTTTGTAAGCTTTTCAGCTTTCTTTCAACAAGGCATGGCCCAGCCAAACATTTAAAAGTAATAAGAATAATAATAAAACATGAAATGATGCATTCATAAAAGAAATGGATTATTAATACTGGAATCATTCCCCCTAGCTCGATTATTGTTGCATCATCTATCACCATACACACCAGTCCCCACTCTCCATCCCCATATCCTCCTCCATTCATCAACTTAATTAACCTAATAATAAATTAACTTCATATTCACTATAATTCTAAAATATTAAAAATTTTAAGATGTTGATCAGTCACCAGGTACAATTCAAAAAGTATGTCTAGTTGTAATAGATATTTTGGGGATATTTATCCTCGCAATATTCAGTATATCCCTATGTGTGATTGTACTGGATATTCTGGAGATATTTGTCCCCGTAGTATTCAATAAAACCTTATGTCTGATTCCATTAAATACGCTGGGGACAATTATCCCTGCAATATTCAGTACAACAAAAAAAAAAAAAAAACATATAAGATTATAAACAGTGTAAATCGACATGATATACTTCGGTGGCTTAATTAAAATTTCTCCTAACTTGAAAGTTGCTTTGAATCTATGAGCACAAACAGACTTGAAACAAAGGAAGAAAAAACTCAGTATATTCAAGAACAAATCATCAGTGATTGTCCCAAAACTGACCAAACATGAAATGAAATGAAGATTCACAACATACAAATTAAAATGCCCAGAAACAAATTAAAAACCAATTGTGGATGGCATTTAAGCTAGCAACACAAATTAAATTAAAACACTAATTATTACCTGAGTATCAAGATCAGATGAAGAATGAGTAGAGGATGAAGGAGGAGAGGCAGTGAGCAAAGTGTTGAAGGAGAGTGATCCTTGGTTGTTCCTCACAAGCCCAACCCTCAAGCTAAGTGGCTGCAGCCCCAGTGGCCACCCATCTTCCTGCGCCCATTATCATCAACATCACTAAAAAAAAAAAGACAGTATTTTCTTGGAAAGCAAAATCAAGAAAAGCACCAATGCTGAGACAACAAATTAAAGCAGGCTGGCAGGAACATTATTATTATGTAATTTGAAAGGAGAAGACAAAGAAGTACTACGTACCTGTTGAGCCATAGCTTTCAAGGTTTTGTGCTTCTGAAAGTTTGAGGACGGAGTGATATATGTTGTGTCACCTCAGTGGTCTTCAGAGGAAGAAAGAGTTAAGTGTCATCACATTTTCTCCGCACTTACATATATAATACATTCCTTTATGGATCGGATGGACTTGATACTCTTTGGAAAAAAAAAAAAAAAAAGGACAAAAATTATCATAATCGTTTGGCTTCACATGCGCTTGGGTCAGGTATGCAGTGCCCTGGCTATTTTGCTCCGTTAGATTTCCACGTTGCATTTTTTGGGGGTGTTTTTTATGCTAAAAAATAGAGTAATATTATATGTATTTTCACTTTCTACTTCCTACTTATATGAGTACATGACACACTTTGATTCATTTAAAAAAAATATGGGCCATAGTTGTTAGGAAAAAATATTAAATGTACTCCCAAGGAGTATTACTCCCCACATGTATATATTAAGTGAATGAATAAAAATGGTGCTCCTATTTTTTTTTAAAGCAATTATTATAGGACACTTCATTAGGAGTAAAAAAATGGAGTGTAAGATGGAAGTACATGTAGTATTATTCTATTTTTTTTTTTTTTGGGAATCGGTATTGCTCTAGTTTTTATTACTTTCTTTTCTTCTCCCTCCAATAAAATCAATAGACATGAAGGGAGTTTTACTCACTTGAAGTCCGAGCAACTAGTTTTTGACTTTTGAGGGGTTAGGTTAAAATTTTTTCTGGGGCTGGTTGCTCAAACATTGCAATCAGCTAGGATTAAAACTATAAGCACATATTTTGTGATTAGAATGAGTTTCTTTAATAAAAATAGAAGAAAATTTCACTTTTGGTCGTATGACTATATTGTTAATTGCAGTCCACGATTTTTAAAATCGTCAATTTAATACCATAACTATTCAATTTTTCTCAATTTTAGTCCCTCCGGCCAAGAGGTGCTTAAATGGGCTCCCTTTGAGAAACTTCCGATGTATCTTAGAATACGGAGGGCATTTTGACAAAAGAGGAAGGGCAATGTAAAGAGGTAGACGTAAAAGGGCTCGGGTTGGTTGAGAAGAATAATCTGTTGGAGAGACTAGTGAAGGTTACAGAAGAAGATAACGAGAAGTTCTTGTTGAAGCTCAAACAAAAGATTTACAGGTGAGGAGTTTGGAAATGACAGTTTTACCACAGAGAACCGGGGTCAACATACAGTACTATCTGGTGAAGAAATGGAGAAGAAAGAGAAGAGGAGAAGAAAAAGACTAAATTACCTTCGTTATTTTACCCTTTAAAATTTTCCGGCAATTTTTTATCGGCAATTCAGCCAGATGGACTGAAATTGAGAAAAATTGAAATGTTATGGTACCAAATTGAAATTTAACTGCAATTAACAACACCTCAGTAGTCATATAACCAAAAGTAAAATTTTCTCTAAAAATAATATTCTAAGAAGCTTTCCAAAGTTCAGGAGTGGTGGGTCAATCACTTTATGGGCATCTAATGAATAGGAAGGGAAATTCAAGAGGGTATTTTTTAATATTCTAATTTAAAAACATTATGACCATGTTTGGTTAATGGCGGATCCGCCGTTTTTGACGGTTTGACATGGTCAAACCGCCAAAAAAAATTGTTTGGTTAGCAGCGGTTTGGAGCAGCAGTTTGCTCCAAACCGCTACTTTTGCAAACGCTGCACTTTGCAGCGTTTGTAGTTGGTGTTTTGGGGAAAATTAAATTTTTCCCAAAATGCCCCTGTTTATATTTAAAAAAAAAAAAAAGAAAAAAAAAACTTAAAACTTATTGAGGAGTCGAAATGGCTCCTTAATTTGAGGAGCCAAAACAGCTCCTCAATGTTGCCCATCTGGGATGGGCAACAAATTTGTGGAGCCTTGAGGCTCCTTAAATAGGAGCCTCAAGGCTCCATTCCCACTTTTCCCACCGATGTGGGACGGTGGGAAAAGTGGGAATACAAGAGGGGAGCAGCTTGTGCTGCTCCCTTCTTTCGTTCTTTTTTTTTTTTAATTATTATTATTATTATAAATTATAAATTATAAATTATAATGTATACCCTTATGGTCATTTTACATGTTAACCGCTAATCTAAACAGTTAATTTTACTAAACACTTTTTTATAAACCGCTAATACAATCTGCTGGTCAAACCTGCTAATACAATCCGCTATCTGATGCTAACACAACCCGCTACCGCTGACCGCTAACCGCTGATAATCAAACAAGCCCTATATGTATTAACCATGTTATGTCATTGGCACTATTACAAAAAGAGTTAATACCTAAAATAGTCCCTCGACTATGTCGTAATTACCAATTTGGTCCTCGACTATCATTCTTACCCAATTAAGTCCTCAACTATACAATTTTTACTCAATTTAGTCCTTTGTCAATTTGACTGTTTGTTGACTGTCAAAAGTGGAAATAAAGTTGTAATTTTACAAGTTTTCTCCTTCTTCCTCATTTAGCAGCGCCAAACCATGTAGCAATAAGCTCCGGTTGGGTTCTAAACCTGTCAGTATCGAAGTAGTGGTTATGCATCGGATAGCCCATGAATTTGATTTCCAACGATTTTTTGACGATCGAAATCTGATCGGAGTGTATTGCTGCATAGTTTGGCGCTGCTAAATGGAGAGGAAGGAGAAATCTTGTAAAAATTATAATTTTATCCCGACTTTTGACAGTCAACAAACAGTCAAATTAATACAGAGGACTAAATTGGGTAAGAATTGTATAGTTAAGGACTAAATTGGGTAAGAATTGTATAGTTGAGGACTTAATTGAGTAAAAGTTACATAGTTGAGGACTTAATTGGGTAAGAATGGTAGTTGAGGACCAAATTGGTAATTATGGCATAGTCGAGGGACCATTTTGGGTATTAACTCTTACAAAAATTGGTCTAGACGTTCCTAGGTCGTGGCGATTTTCTCCCTAGGTGATCGGTCACCTAGTGCTTAAATTCGATCGAGTTAGTCGAGTTAACACACTCTCTCTCTCTCTCTCTCTCTCTCTCTCTCTCTCTCTCTCTATATATATATATATATATATATATATATATATATATATATATATATATATATATATATATATATATATATAGAAAAGCGCTCATATGTGGTCATGTCATTAGGTGTGGTCGTGTGGTCGTATCTGGGTCGTTGAATCAGTTTAATCTAAAGGCAGTGGTAATTCTGAGAATTTTCGCGCGTTTTAGTAAGTGGGGGTGTTATGGTAATTACAGTGACCATTTATAGCGGGCGGGTTCCAGAATACACCAACAGTGTTGACAACATACACCAATAGTGTAATAAAACACACCACAGTGAAACACACCAATGGTGTATTCCCGTGTTATGGTAATTACAATGGCCATTTATAGCGGTCGGGTTCCAGAATACACCAACAGTGTTGACAACATGCACCAATAGTGTAATAAAACACACAACAATGTGATTTTCCCTATTCCGGTGTTTTATGACAAGTTTACCCTTACAGTTCTCTGGGTAGGAGAATGTGCGCGAAAATACTGAAAAAAATCTTGATTAATATGAATCATTAGATCTATCTAATCTAATGGTCTATAATTGACCATATGACCACACCTAACAACATGACCACATGTGAGCGCTCCTCTATATATATATATATATATATATATATATATATATAAAAGTAGAAATGAACGGGGTCATTTTCATAAATATTATAAAATTTTATTTATTTAAAATCGTTAGATTTACTAGATCAATGGTGAAAAACACTACTAAACATATTTAAAAACAAAAATGAAAATTAGAGGATGCGTGAAAAACAACTTTCAAATGTTTTTCAAATGAAAAACATAGATGAACAATTTCTTTCTTCTTATTTTGTATTTTTCCTAGAAGCTTATTTGAAGGTTTCTTTTCTTATTTACAGCTTCTACTACCACTCTTCTTTAAAGTGCATCCTTCATCTTCTGGTTTATACAATCTCGCAGAGCAAATTATTCAGTCTACACAACTCGGTCCAAAACCACGTCGTTTTGATGTTAAAAAAATTTCTTATTTCGTGCATGTGTTAAAATAATGAACGTTTTGAGGTAAGATAATGTCTTTAATGAGTTAGAACAATGTACCTTGTGTTAAAATAATGAAATTTCTGGGATAAAATTATATATTTTATGAGTCAAAATAATGTATAATGTATCTCATGTGTTAGAATAATGAAATTTCTAGAATAAGATAATGTATTTTATAAGTTAAAATAATATACTTTATTTGTTAGAATAATGTATTTTATATGTTTTTAGATAGTGATTCACATATCTATGTGGACCACGATCCACACAATAATGATGGATTTGGCAATATCAACTTGTTTTTATTTATTTTTTAGTTGCCTAAGGGTATCCTTCCAGCCGATAGCCAAAAGACTATTCCCGCGTCCCTATTGTCAGCACACTAACAGCACGTTTGGTTCACAGAATGAATTTTGAGGTAATAGGGATGTTATTCCATAAGGAATGGAATAGACAAGGAATAGAATATGAATTCTATTCTATTGTTTGGTTCGCGGAAGGAATAGACGTTAAGAATTATATTACAGTGTTTGGTTGGTGTAAGGAATAAAATGAAATATGTTTCAAAAGACATAAATACCCTTATAAAAATATGTGGTGGTGTTGGTGGTGGTAGTGGAGGTGGTGGTGGCGGTGGTGGTAACAGTGCTGGTGGTGGCGGTGGTGGTAACAGTGCTGGTGGTGGTGGTGGCGGCGGCAGCGGCGGAGACAGCGGCAGTAGGGTATTTTCGGTATTATAGTACTAAAGCTATTCCCAAATACTTGGGAATAGCTAATACCAGGGGGGGTCCCTAGGAATGGCTATTCCCCCTGCAAAGGGAATAGCTCATTACCGGGAACACTATTACCTTAATAAAACGACAAAACAAACAATGGAATAGGTCTATTCCCGGGAACGATATTCCATTCCCGATCTATTCCATGAACCAAACACGCCATAAGTGGTAGGGGACTGGCCTCATAGAGATAGGTAGCTAATGCTCAATCAAAAAGTCAAATTCGTAGGTTGCTTGTCAATTTATACCAAAAATTCAACAAATACAAAACTTCCTTTTGGAAAATGAAAACTAACCATTTTTGGACAATACAAAATGGAAAAAGGATACACGGTTGATTTCAATACTTTTTGTAATTTCGTTCCACAGATTTAAGTATCATCATCCTTCACCATCCAACAACTTATGTACCGTTCCAATGAGTAATGGAAAAAGGAAAAAAAGTTGTGCAAAAAAGTTGGATATAAAACGTTATATGTATAAAGAAGGTATAAAAAAAAAAATTTGTTGTATTAAGTTTGTATTAATGCATAAAATCTAGATATTTAGAAATTATATTAAAAGAAATATTAAATACAAACAAAATAGTTGAATTATAAAATTATAAATTATGTTAAAAATAAGTAAAGAAAGAAGGATGTGTTTAACTATCAATAATAAACATGACATGACATGTAAATGAAACCAGGAGAGAATAATTTGTATTAGAAATTTAGAAAATGTATAAATGTGTAATGAGACAATAGTACACTGCAGATTACTTCAAGAGTGGCAATGTCAATGGATGAATATAAGAAAACCACTTGGATACAAACAGGAATTAAAGTAAGACTGTTTAGTGTGCAAATAATAATGAAGTTAAGAGGCTCATGAGCCAGGAGCCTATGATTTCTAGGTTCACACAGATTAGTCACAACAGCAGTAATCACTCTGGGAAAAACACAAATTCTTACTTATGAGAATGGCTGGCACCAGGTCGATACTCTCCAATTCCAAGCAGATCCTGCAAATGTATAAATGGATCAAGTTGGTCTAACAAGGATTGCAAAAGACTATACAGTATACACTTAACAATGGCTGTTCACTTCAAATAGTGTCTTCATGAAAGAAACATATGAGTGTGTAGGATTGTAGAAGCAGTTCAAATAACACAGATGCAGGCCAGCAGAAGAATATATTGACAAATGACAAAGAGGAAGATGAGAAACACTATTCTTCATATGTGTTGGGCGGAGGTCGGTGAAGGGCCAAATCCAGCACCAAGTGGCTAGGGGATCATTGGCAGAGGTCTGAAGGGCCAAGTCCAGCACCCTCCTCTCGAAAATGTGACAGTATAAATAAATAAAGTTGCGTCTTCGCTACTAGCTATAGCTTTTGGCATAGTGGTTAGCCCGCTAAATCTTAACAATGATGTCAATTGTTATATGCATGAGGGTTACCTTCTTCCCACTAAATTACTCCCATATACACAATTCAGTCTTTTATGAACCACTTATCAGTATGCAGAAATGCAGAATCTTTCCCACTTGATTCACAGTAAATTAATCTAGCATATTCTTTGCAAAATAATTTGTACATATCCACGAAATTTGTAATGGGAAATCTATGAATTGTCAATAGGAAGAAGGAAATAAGCTAGACAAAGAATGAGTGGATACAGGGAAGTAGGAAACGCATTCAAGTGAAGGTATTAGAAGCAGGAATTTGCAATGAGTATCAAGAGCAAGAAATTTCAACCTGGCAAGCTTTGTTTTTGGCCCTGGTTTCTGCTGTACTAGGAATGTCATGATTCGGTTTCATAAATCTTTTCTCACGCCGCTCACATGAACCCCATCCATCTGAAAACCTACCACCCCTGCTCGGAAAACACCAAAGAGAAAATATAGAATATGAAACTGAAAGAACAGTACTATTGTGTAAAACTAGCAGACAAAACCACATCACATAAAGCAAAATCAATAGAAACATACTGCATATATGCCCGAACCACAAATTCAGCTCGCAGAACATTACGGTTATCATCAAATTCAATGGTCTTGTCTTTAATTTCATATGACAGGTTGAAGTAAAACGATATTTTCCTCCATCCTGGCATAGCAAATCCAACACAAAATTTCAGTTCAGGGCCAAAAGTCCAAAATTTAGTCCAGGATAAACTAGAAAACGTCTTGAACGTCTGACGAATTACCTGATTTTTTAATGAAAGGGCTTCCTGAAATCATTGTGTAATCACTTTTCTCCAAAATCTGTCAACATTTTCATTTGAACAACTCATGATTACATAATAATACATGTAAAATTAAGAAGATCAACTGCTTATATCTATTTGAGATATTGCAATTTTCACAAATGCTTTGATTTTCTTTACAAATCAATGCAAATAACTTGAGAAGAAAACTTCAGAACTTCTAATGCTCAGTAGTTAACAAAAAGGATTCCATAATATATGCTACCGGATCGGATTAATTAATCAAAATTTTCAAACCAAAGCGAAAAGAAATAACGATTTGATGAAAAGTATATTCAAAATGGATAGACATTTTACCGCCATTGCTGCATCTTGGTACTCCTTGAAAAGCGACACAGATGGAAACTGACCGGACAAGCTATGTCTAACTATTCCACCTCTCTCATCACACCTTCCATTGCTCATCGTCGTCATCGGAGAACACTCCGAACCACTGGGACTATTATTACGGTAACCGTATTCCGTCACGGAAGACCTTGTTTCCGGCGGCGAAGAATAAACCGGCGTATTCGCTGTGCGCGGCATGTGCTTCACCAATGCCATAGGCGGCGTAGCTTCCTCGCTCAGACACGAAGAGGCCGGCCCCCTTGCTATCTTCTTCGAGTCTCGATTGAGGACCTCGCCGTCGGGGTGAGGGTGCTTTCTAGGGTTTCTGGAGAGCTTCGTTTGGGGAGAGGGGATAGGGAAAGGGACAGTGGGAGAGTGCTTGACAGGAGGAGGTCTACAGTGCTTAACTGTGGCAAGGGTGGTTGTTCTGGAGGAGATGGAGGCTGCGGCGGCGGAATCGATCACCGCCCACAAGGCGGCGTCGTCGAGGTCATTGTCGTCGACGGCGTAGGTGAATGGAGAATTCATTGTACAGTGAGGAGTGAGACGACTGATTCGCTTCTTCGCGGGTGTGTGAATTTCAAATTTTGAAATAGCAAACGACATCGTATATGTTCTAGCTTGCTATTACTTTAGCCTTGAGGATAACAAATTAACAATGAAAACTTAATTGATTGTGTATTACAAATGGAAATTATTCAATACCCATTACTAAATTTGATAACTTTAAAGTTATTGTGTATTTAGTCAAATGACTAAATATGGAATTAATTATTATTGTTGTTGTTATTATTTTGAAAAAACAATAGTGAATAAATTCTTGAATTATATGAACTTTTGTACCTAATACGTTTTCTTGAACTTTAAAATTTTATGTTTTTGGGTCAGATTTCTAATCAGGTGAGAATCAACCTTAACCTGCTGCGAATTGTGAATTTGTGAATGACTGCACTGCAACTACTACATGATTGCATTGCTACGACTCCCAGACATGCCTAGAGGACCTTGCGGTTGAATCGTATCTGGGTGCGATGCAATCATGTAGTAAGTGCGATACAATTCTTCACAAATTTGTAGTTCACAGGTTAAGATTGGTTCTTAACAGATTATGGACCTCTATGAGCAATCTCAACTAAATTGGCTATGTTATTACCTTTGTAGTCATAATTTTACAAATTTGACTCCTTAAATAATTAAGTAGCCTATTAGTACTCACTGCATACCTTTTATATAGTGACTATGAATTTTTCTCTATCACCTAAAATTAAAAATAAGGGAAAATGACACTTTTTCCCCCTGAGTTACATACTTATAGCACTTTTTCCCCTTCAATTATTTAGGTAAGCACATTAGCCCCCTCAATTATTCTAAAAGTGGTGGTTTTTCCCCCTGATATATTAAATTGACATTTCTATCCTTAAAGTAAATATTTTATTTATTTTACTTCTCCAACAAATTATTGCGTATACGTAGGGATGACCACGGTTCGGTTCGAACTGAACCGGACACTAAAGCAATCGAATTAAAAATTTTCGGTTATGATTCAGATCTATAACCCAACATTTGGATTTCAATTTATTAAAATTATGAATCAAACAAATTGGATCCTGAACGGCTGAACCGTGAACCGGGGGTTCCAGATCCGGTTCGCGGTTTTGAACCGTCTTTATTTTAAATTTTTGTTTTTTATTTTAAAATAGTCTAAATTCAACAATAAATGTATTTTATTTTTTCAGTTCGGAACATGAACCGTTCGTTCCGGTTCGCAATTTTAATAAACTTTAAATATCGGGTTTCGATTCTAAATTGTAATTGGAATATTTCGGTTTGGTTGCTATAGTGTTTGTTTGGTTTGAATCAAATTATGGTCATAATTTGTTGGAGAATAAAAATAAATAAAATATTTATTTTAAATATTTATTTTAAGAGTAAATATGTCCATTTAACATTTCAGGGGGAAAAACAACCACTTCAATAATTGAGGGAGGAAAAGTGCTATAGGTATATAACTCAGGGGGAAAAAGTGTCATTTTTCCTAAAAATAAAAAATAAAAAAATCACGCGTCTTATTGATTGAACTGATAAGGTTGGTGTGGATGCTACATGTAACTTTAGTTTATTTAATGTTCGAATTAATCCTCATAATTAGGATTGACTAAATGGGAAGTACTCCGTACTTGATATGTATTAGACCAAGTTATGTATATATGTATTTTTAAAAAAAATTATTAAATGGGTTTCAGATCAAATATGTTCGAATAACTATGAGGTACCAATGTGGTTTACACTTCTATGTAGTTTAATAACTATTACATAATAGAGTTTACTCCGTCTACATTTTTAAGTAGTGATTGTGAGTATCTTTCGTCATGAAGTATGTGTATATATGTTTGTTATTTAAGGCGTCTGACTTTAAGAGGCAGTCCAAAATTCTGATACACCCTGATCTCACCACCTAAGCTTGCCGTCACAATTACCAACCCCCACGCCGTGGCCTGAATGGTACTCCCACCATGGTTGATCACACCATCCAATATGGAGGACCAGGACCGCGACGGGGAGCTGCTAATAGAAGGCGAGTGCGAGTGGTGATGATCGTCGTTCTTAGATGGGTCATCCGTTTCTGAGTTTGCAGAATGATCCACGACTTCACTCTCGTGGTCCCCCTCACCCCCCGTGCCCTTTTTCTTTGGCAGAGGGGGCAGAAGCTTCCTGGTGGGAGACCCACTGGCCTTGATGGGAGAGCCAACGGGGGGGTTTTGGGGCGGGAGGAAGCGTCTTTTCGTGTGTAGTTCGACAACCGGTGGCTCGGTTGTAATGCTGCCTGGCCATGGGATTGCAACTGAGACGTCTTTGCAAGGGAAATGTTCATAGCTGTTGATGATCACCCTTCTGCCTTTTCCACTCGCAGTTTTGGGCTCTTCTTTCTTTTTTTTGAAAGGAAGCTCTTCTTTCTTCCACACATACACTTCGGAATCTTCACTTGCACTTATCACATACTTCCCATCTGGGCTAAACGAAGCCGAAATTTGGCTGTTTAGGTTACGGAAACCTGTTGCAATAACAGATTTACTGTTAAGTTTTCTGAGATAGTGATTACGAATTTCTTTTGTCACGATTAAAAAAGTGTTGGTTTTAGAGAACACCTTTGAATTTATGAGTGAAACCCAATCCATCGTGGATCCGAAGGCGCGAATCTGCAGTGGAAATGAGCACTTCTGAGGGGTTCCATGGGGAATACTGTGACACAAGAAGGCTCAGTTTAAGATAGATGTAAGAGGGAGGGACAAATTAAAGATTGTTTATCCACCCAGACACAAATAATAGATACCTCTAAACCTGTGACCTTTGTGATTTGGGACTTTTTCTTGTTCTGGGTATCAAACTGATCCTGTTGTTCCAGTTTGTAATCTAAGACACAGTAAAAGTTAGAGACAGATAACCCAAATGATGTGTGGAATCTGATGACATTATTACATTACATACCTGTAGTACTATAATACCGACAGCCACCTCTGTGTGAGCCTATCATAGCACCCTTACATAGTAAAAACAAAGAATATCAATCGCTCATTTTTTAAGTTCAGTGACGTATTTGACACTTATTCCAATGTTTAATAATCGAGACAGACTACCTTTCCATCAGGAGTGTAGCAAGTGGCAGTAACCATCTCTTTCTCATCTTTCCAGTCCACCACTTTCCTATCCGTTATGTTCCAAATCCGAACCTTCGAATCCAATGAGCCACTGATGAAGCAGTCGTCGTCTACCGGATTGAACTGTATGCATGTTACTGCAACACCACAAAACTACTTGTCAGATACTGATCAACTTAAATCAAGAAAGTCAATAGCCCGCCTTTGTTTAGGAGTCGAGCTTGTAAGTTTTAACATTGTAACTACCAAGTTAACAGTCTGACCAATTTGATACAGGTAAAAGTGAAATTTGGGTCCTTACCATAGTCATTGTGTGCAAACATTTTCAAACAATTCTGGGTTTCGACATCCCATAATCGAACCGTCTTGTCCATTGAAGAAGAAAGCAACAGCTGCCATAATGCATAAATGTGAAATGCAACTATTATTCTGAAGTTGTTGTCAATATAATATAATATAATATATAAATATAAATGTGTCCTGGCCCGGGGTCTGACTAACCTGAGCTCGGGACCAGGACAGGTCCATGACAACATCCTGATGGCCTTCGAGAGTGCAAACCGGTTTCTCAGAAAGAGCAAACACAGTTTCTGGGACTATGACATAATCCGGGGCAGAATTATTACCCTTCTTCCTAGTAAAAGCCCTAAGCTTTTTCTTTTTCTCTTCTCCCGATTCCGATTTCCCCCCAACCATTGGATGAACAGGCGAACTTAGATCATCGTACGGTCTCCCCCCTGCCATGACGTCGCATTCTTGGACTTCCCAAATATGGATAACTTTATCCTCCCCCGCAGTTGCCAGGTAATGGGTGTCCGGGCTGAATTTGACGCTCCAGATTGACCCCTCGTGCGCCTGGATTTCTTGGCACAAGTGTAGCCCTGTGAATTCTTTGATTGGTTTTCCGTGCTGCCGGACTTTAATCCACTGGGAGGAGTTCTTGTTGGGTTTGCAGGGCTCTCCTGCTAAACTGGGATCTCTGTCTTTTTCTGTATTCTTTCCGCTCATCGAATGCGCCACTCCCTTTATGTTCTTCAGGATTGCCACGCCTCTTCTCTTGCTGTACCTCATACTCCTGCATATATGCTAAACCATTAATGTACTAACCAACTATCAGCTTAGATTTTTAGTTGAGATGGAGTACATGCTTCAATTTGGTATCAGAGTCAGACCAAAGGTCATGGGTTTGAATCTAAGTTGAGATTACCTGGTGAGATATGAATTCTGTTTTCTGTCGTAAAAATTGGCGGTTGAATCGTTTGATCTGCGCATAACTTCCTTATCAACCGGGGAGAATCTGTCGAATTCATCCATGGATTCTTCCTTCCCTGTCTGCAGGGCAAGATCATTGTCTTCAGTGTTGAGATTCTTTGTTACGAAGCTTGGGTCGACGCCGCCATCGGACAATATCGCACTGCTCGCCGTCGATCTTTTCCTCACCTTATTATTATTATTATCATTCATCTGTGGTGTTTTGAGGATCGGGAGTTTTGTCGGCCCGATGTCTGTGTTTAGTGTTGCCAGACACGATAATGTTCTTCTGAGGTGTTGTTTGGGAATGGGGCCAATTAGCTCTTCTTTCCTCTTGTTGGAATCTACGGATAAGGATCCAATATCTCCGGCGGATCTGGAACGGACTAGAGCGGGCGGGGGTGAAGGTGAATGAGGCTCCGCCGACGCCGCCGGCGGCGGCGTCGGCGGCGGGGTATGTTGTTGCGTGGAATCTTGCTGCCGGGGATAAGGCTGGCGGGGTATTTCAGATTTTGGGATAAGAGGGTGTTTGGGAGCCGGTGATTCGGTTTTTTTGGTAATCACCCTGGCGAATTTCTTGGCACTGGCGATCTTTTGGAGGCTCTTGTTGCTCAACAATCCCATGCCTTGGAGGAGGCGGCGGCGGCGCTCTTTGACGTCGCCTGGCTCGGCCATCCACATGTCGTAATCCTCGGAGGCGGAGCGAGGTCTGGCGGAGGCGGGCGGAGGCGGCGCCTCGGAGGCGCGGGCGGAGTTGCTGAGGGAGAGGGAGGGGAAGGGGCGGGGGGCGGATGCGCAGACGGCGGTGCTAAACGACATGCGGGTATCCTCGTAATCATCCTCCGATCCCGAGGACTCAATGTCACCCGGGACGGCGGAGGAGAACCGTTCTCTGGGGTCGAAGAAATCGTCGTCGTCATCTCCGACATGCTCCCAGTTCATCGTCAACGTCCTCCGCCGGTCCATTGTAGCACATTGCCGACGGAAGAATCCCAGTGCCTAGAAGAATCAGAGAATGCTGATGGAGACGAAATTGCATGAAAAAAGTTGCCAACTTTTTTTTTTTTTCTCGATTAGTGAATTGTTGCAGATGAGAGAGAAACGACAGGGGAGAGACAAATGGAAGCGAGGAAATTAAGGAAAGGGACCGTTGCGTTCTATGAAGTTTGGTTGGAAAAGAAAAAAAGAATGCAGCATTGTGAATGGAAGGCTCCTTTAATTTGCTCTCCTCACGTCTATGTTTGCTTATTATTGAATTGGTTGATCTCATGTGATGGAGGAGACTTGGGAGAGATCGTGCATAAGTAATACGGAGTATATATGAATATATGATGTCCACTAGACCACTACTAACATTATTCCTAGTTCCTACCCATACTCCAACCAATAAAAACAAAAGTAATAATAAAATTATAAAGAAAAATAATAATTTTAGCCCATTAATTATGCATGCATGAATTATTATCACAGATAAAATTTTTCCTTTAATTATGTATAAACTGGTAATTTTAGTCTACTGCTAACAAATTATGTTAATATTAACAATGCATTTTAAATTTATAAATTATTGGGGATACCTTAGTTATTTTTTATTTATACCATTTTGTATTAAATAATTAATTAATCATTAAATTTAACAAACACATTTTTAGTGGTGGCTAATTGGTTGGATTTATTTAGTGTAGTTTGGCTCATGTGCATTATAGGTCAAACAAGAGACATTGATTTGTGAATTATTATTACTATTGTGGCTCTGTTTGGCATAGCTTATTTAGGAGCTTATAGCTTATTTTAAGCTCCTAATAAGCTATAAGCTCTGTTTGGTAATGTTTTCAAAATAAGCTCGTAGCTTAAAATAAGAGCTTATTTTGGAACGCTACTTTAGGTAGCGATTCAAAATAAGCTCCTAGCTTCCTAACTTTTTTTCCATCTTTATCCTTATTATTTTAAAGAAATGACATAATTTACCCTTCCCAATTAAAACTTTTTTCTCTTCTCCTTTATCCGCAACTTTCACAGCAATTATTATTATTATTATTATTATTATTATTATTATTATTATTATTATTATTATTATTATTATTATTATTATGAGATTTGTAACAATATTGCTACTTCATTATGAGATGCTTAGATCATGATTATGCTAATAGTTTTATTTCAAAATGTTAATTTTTTTAAAAAACAAAATGTTAAATTTTAATATGTAAACAAACCCAATTTAAATTTTATGAAGATGTCATTTTTAGTCTTTTTATATTTATCAGCTTATCAAAAAACTATTTTTACCAAACACTTTCAACCATAACAGCTAGCTTAACAGCTCTTCAGTTTTTAGCTCCGAGCTTATAGCTTTTTAGCTTTCAGCAGCTTATAGCTTTTCAGCTAGGTTTGCCAAACAGAGCCTATATATATATATATATATATATATATATATATATATATATATATATATATATATATATATCACCTTTTCATATTAACATTTATTTATGCGAGCAAACTATTTCATAACATTTTTTTTAAAAAAATATTTTTGACATATGATTGAAAGTGATTATAGATTGAAGACTCATTCCAACTTATTGACCAAATGACCGATATGCTTTTATGCTGATAATAAAACGTAAATGGTAATTAGATCATTATCTTACGTAGCTACATTTAAAACTTATTATTAAAAATGTCAATGTAAGGCAATAAAACATTGTGACACATTTGACGAATTGAAAAAGATGCTGAGACTACAACAATGCCCTTGCAAATTCAGAAAATAAAGAAATTTTAAAAATAGAACAAGAGATACTACTAATGAACCTTCTACATATAAAATTAATATTAATATTAATATTTTGTTCAATACTTTCACATGAGAATCTACGGCACACATCTCACAATACATGAAACATGTAGGGAAAAAAACTATCATACCATTGTTAAATATCAATATGCGCTTGCAATATCAAGAGTTCATATATAGTACAACCAAGATCTCAATCATATACATAACAAGGCAAATCCACAGCTTCCTACACCATAATTTCATTGCATGATGTTGCCCTCTATGCTATCACCAGTAACCCAATTACAAATAAAACACTACCAACAAAATAAGAGGACAAGTAATGAAGATGATGTCAATGGCAATGCTACCCAAAAGAGAATTAAGAAGATCATACTTAATGAAATTCAAACCAAAAGTAGTACGGAGTATTTATTTAGACTATCATTCTTATAATAAGTATTTAGACTAGCGTTATTACAAAGTTGCAAACATTTATTTCAATGACAATTATAATCAATCTCTCTTATATTATCTTGCATTTCATATACTTTGAATTACCAAGCCAATTTAAATAAACAAATTCAACATTCAATTACTTATACATGAACATCTCCTATATAATCTTGCATTGATATAATTTGAAATACTTATTTAAAAATAAATATTAGCCATTATCGCATTCGCACAATGCGCAGGAAAAAACTAGTTTAGATTAAAAATTTAAAAAAAAAAAAAAAAAAAAAAAAAAAGACGAACAGGCCAAGGCCCAAAGTCAGAAATGTTTCGATGATCGAAGTCCCTTCTGAGTTCTGTCATTGTTAAGATCAATGGATATTCAGGCCCAAATCCACATTGGCGATAGTGTATTAGCAATCGTTATGCTGTGCATCCGTATGCACCTGCATGGTGCAGCACCTGCATGGTGCATACGGATGCCAAAACGACGTCGTTTTATTAAAAAAATGCGCATCTTCCTTTTAAAAAAAATTCAGGTTCGATTCCCAGCAACAACATTATATTGTTCATTCATTCTGGAATTTTAGTTCATAGATTATGGAAATATAGTTCATTGATTATGGAATTATAGTTCATCGATTATGGAATTGTAGTTCATCGATTCCGAAATTTTAGTTTATAGATTATGGAATTTTAGTTCATTCATTCTGGAATTTTTAGTTCATAGATTATGGAATTATAGTTCATCAATTATGGAATTTTAGTTTATATGTTGTTGCTGGGAATCGAACCTGATTTTTTTTTAAAAGGAGACGCGCGTTTTATTAAAGCGACGTCGTTTTTGCATCCGTATGCACCATGCATGTATTAGTATTAAATGGATGGATCGTTACAATTATTTTAGAAGATTTTTCAGATGAAGAAGTTTTTTTTTTGGGTCATTTGTTTATTTTAAAATAGAGGGACTAAATTTAACAGAATAAAAGTACAAGGACTAAATTGAACAAAACACTATAGTACAGGGACTTCATAGGTACTTTGACCCTTTTACATTTCATCGTTGACTATCATTTTTTTTTTAATTTTAGTATATGATTATTAAATTCCTGTCACGATTGATCATTTTGACAAATTTTTGCATCAACCTTGTTCGCTTTTCACCAACGCTAATTCCAAAATTACTGTATTACACTTTGTCGTCTACATATACTGCTTAAATATAAAAAAAATTACATGGTTGTCATTTAGAAGATTCAAGTTAAAGTTGGTTGAGAAATTGATCAAAATAATCAAATGTAGAAAGAACTTGATGGTCATGCACCAAATATAGAAAAAAAAAATAGTTAATGACCAAATGTGATTATATGAGAGATGTACAATACTCAGAATAAAAAAAAAAGAAAAAAAAAACACCTCTTTTTTTTTGAAGGAAAAAAAAAAAACACCTCTTTGATTGAACTATAGTTGAAGTAATTGGACCAAATTGCCACTCCAATTGTAAAAATTTCAATTGGGAATGTAAATGTACATTAGAAGCTAGCAACTAATTGGAGCAACCCAATCACTTCAAACTTACTATCGTCCAGTGTTGCAAAAATTCCTCCCAGGCACCAATTAATCGGCGTCTAGGCGTTGGTCGTCCGCCTAGCATATCACCATAATCAGTGGTCTAGGAGGCTAACCGGCTAGGCGGCCGACTAGGTCGCCTAAGAGCCGCCTAGGCCTCCTTGGCACCAACTAGGTTGCCTAGTCGGCCGACTAGCTATTGTTCATTTTCTTAAAATGGTTATTTAACTCAAAACGACATTGTTTTGAACAAAATAACACTAAATTGTTCAAATTTTAAATATTTTTAGGTTAATATTTAATATTTTAGTATTAAATACTTTATAATTATCAAGTATTAAAAAATTTAAAAATTTTAAACATATTTTTAAGAAATAAAAAATAAAATAAACAATACACGGGCATCTAGGCACCGATTAATTCCCGCCTAGGCACCCTAGGCGCTAAACGCCCCTCGAACGCCTAGCGATTTTTTAAACTATACTATCGTCGTTCTAACTAATCTAATTAACGTCGCTCAAATCCTCAATATTAGTGATATATTTTATCATAAAACCACGTTCAACAAACTCCCATGTCACATCCATAAAAATTTACAACTCACAAATTGGTGTACAACTTTAATGAATCAAACTTCCAAATTGCAACTGTCATGGACCAGGTTAAATATTTGATCAATGAACTGTTCTGCCCTTTTGCCGACATCAGTACCAGAATTACGTTGTATATAAAGTGATTATGCCGGCTAATATATGGTACAAACCTAGTCGTATATAATACAATTCTTTATTAGATATATACTTTTAATTCTTGTATGTTTTCAATTTGTTTCTGAATATGATGATGTCTGAATTGGAAGTATGTACACGTCTAATGACGCTATTGGATTAGTATATGGAACTCGATAATATATATAATATGACGACGATCAATGGAAGGAATTATGTATGTAGGTGTTACGACTAGTTTAATCATATGATATATAGTAGGTGAAGACTAAGATTGTGTATTAGGTATAGTATTACTTTCCCATAAAGTAATAATGAATATTGAGACTCTGAAAAGTGTACTTGACTGAATGAGTACATGATTTCTATATATATCAAAAAGTTACAAGTTCAATGTTACGTTGTCAAAAACATTCACGGTTAAATCCTTTTTAGTGTCGTTCAATTAAATTAACTATTAGTGTAGCGTTGCCATATATAGTTTTGTAGCTTGT